ACCCGGCTTCCCCCCGAACCCCCGTTAGAGGACAGGGTCCATTCACCAAAACCGTCCCGTCTGGCATTTTTAAAAATGTGTATTTGTGTTGGTTTCAGAGAGGAAGGGAGAGGGAGAGAGAGAGAGAAACGTGAGAGAGAGAGGAGAATCACGGACCGGCTGCCTCCCGCACGCCCCCCGCGGGGATCCAGCCCTGGGACCCGGCCTGTGCCCTGGCGGGGAATCAACCGGCGACCAATCGGTGCAGGGATGACGCCCAACCCCCCTGATTCTGGCTTTTGAACGTCGGTTCCAACGTGGTGAGAACCCAGGCAGGGTTCTGGATCGAGGAAATCCCACTGAAGACAGACTCGGAAAGTGTAGAGCAATGGTTCTCAACCTTCCTCATGCCGCGGCCCTTTCATACAGCTCCTCATGTTGTGGCGACCCCCAACCATAACATTATTTTCGTTGCTACTTCATAACGGTAATGTTGCTACTGTTATGAATCGTCATGTAAATATCTGCTATGCAGGATGTATTTTCATTGTGACCAATTGAACATCATTAAAGCATAGTGATTAATCACAAAATCAATAGGTAATTATAGATGTGTTTTCCCATGGTCTTAGGCGACCCCTGTGAAAGCGTCGTTCGACCCCCAAAGGGGTCGCGACCCACAGGTTGAGAACCGCTGGTGTAGAGGGAGATGGCTCAGAGCCTGGGGAGGGCGCCCCCTATTGGTCAGCGTTAGGGCACCTGTCAAAGTGGCCTAGGCCAGTGGCTGGCAAACTCATTCGTCAACAGAGCCAAATACCAACAGTACGACGATTGAAATTTCTTTTGGGAGCCACATTTTTTAAACTTAAACTATATAGGTAGGTACATGGTTATTAACTTAATTAGGGGACTCCTGAGGCTGAGGAAGAGCCACACTCAAGGGGCCAAAGAGCCGCATGTGGCTCGGGAGCCGCAGTTTGCCGACCACGGGCCCAAGTCAAAGCCAGCGGCCGAGTCAGGGCCCAAATCCCTCCAACCAGCATCCGCCGGGAACGGCCGGCATCCGGGCGGGTCCTGAGGCGCAGGAGCGGCTGACGGCTGAGACGGGACCCAGAGGCTTGTAACGACGACAACTAACGAATAATCGAAGACGTTCTCCAAGAACCTAGCCATCAGCTTGCCCGACACAGTAACGGCCGCGGGTGAGAGTGACTTCCTCAGAACGGTTTATTCGTGGAGACGCAGGAAAATGGCTCCCCAGTACCTCCCCAGGGTGACAGGGCAGGACGCACATGGTGTTTTTGGTGGTGGTTTTGTTGTGTTTCTTGTTGATGTTTTGGGACTCGGAGGTTTTTTTTAATGTAAACAACTCAAGAAATAGTAGCAGGTGACAAGCGAACCCATGTGTGTATTTTTTTAAAAATCTGATTTCAGCCGAAACCGGTGTGGCTCAGTGGATAGAGCGTCAGCCTGCGGACTGAAGGGTCCCAGGTTCGGTTCCGGCCAAGGGCATGTACCTGGGTTGCGGGCACATCCCCAGTGGGGGGTGGGCAGGAGGCAGCTGATCCATGTTTCTCTCTCATCAATGTTTCTAACTCTCTATCCCTCTCCTTTCCTCTCTGTAAAAGATCCATAAAATATATTTTTAAAAAATCTGATTTCAAATCGGTGCAGGAGGGTGAGACGTACGAATGTGTTACCTGAAAAATGCCGTATCTACAGAGAAACCAAGAAGCATTTCTGCAGCTTTCCCTGTAAAAACACAGATTCAGCTGGGACGCCCGGTCCGGGAAGAATGA